TGTCGCGATCCATTGCCTCTGGTTCCGCTGGCTGCGGATCCAACTGGACGACGCCTGCACGCGCCGCGCGCGCTGGAAACGCCAGCGTCGCGATGCACAGCGCGCTGTTGCGCCTGCACGCGCGTGCGCCAGCATCAGTGTGTGATGCAAATTGACATACGTTGCCACGTCTCTGCGCGGTTCCGTGTCGAATTCGTTCGCTTGCTCCCCTGTGACGAGGACTAGCCCCTCCGCAATGCGCTGCCGCTTCCTCGTCATGGTCAGCTGATGCGTCAACGTCTTCACGCGGAAAACCGAATGCACCTGCGGACGCGCGCGCGAACGACCGCGCGGAGACGCGCGCAGCGCGCACAACGCCAACGCGTGCCTGCAGCAAACGCCGCGACAGCTCCTTTGAGATTCTGCTCACCAAGTGATCGCACGGCTCAGTCTTGACCCCGAACCCCAGGCGATACCTCGCGTAAAACTTGGCGCGGATGTCTTTCAGGTCACTGTTGGGCAGGAGCGCATCGAGGTCATCATCCTCGACGCCACGCTTCTTCCGCGTGTCGGAGATCGTTTCGGCCTGCCTCGCCGCGGTCCAGGCCTGGCGCAGCCGCGACGCTTGAATCCCTGGGAAAGAAAGGCCCTCGATCTTTTCGATTACCTTGGTTTCGACTTCCTGCTCCGACGTGAAGAAGTGTGTGAAATCATCCATGCTCTCGAGGCCCGCGACTGACACCAAGTGGGTGGCCACCTTGGGGTCCAACCGGAACGCGTTGCACAAAAGCGTAAACAGCTGTTCCGCGGCCTCGCGGCCTCCCGACACAGACGGCAGCTGCAACGCCTGCCCGCCGATCGAAAGCGCCATCGCGCACGTGAGGACAAGTCGCAGCGCCTCGCGCCCTCAAGATCGCTGGCACGTCTGCTCGCGCGCTGAAAGCAACGGCTTGCGCATGGCGTGCGCTGGCGTTATTGCGCGCTGCAACGTGCGCTCACAAACTGCTGATGCAGCAAAATGCGCGGACATGGCCACGCCGCACCGCTTGTGCGCTCATACTGCGCTTGCGCGGCCCCAGCGCAGGCTGCTGATGCAGCACCCGCGCACGCACGACAACTCTACGATTTCCGCTCGCGTGGGTCGCGCTGGTGCAATATACGCGCGAAAAGCGACCGCGCGGACATGGCCGCGCTGCAATGCTAGTGCGTACGGCCCTGCGCCCGCGCGGCTATCGCAAGCACGGCATCCCGGGCCGCCAGTACCGACGGCTGGCACGCCGCATGTTCCAGCTCATGGGCTGCTCGGGCCAGGAACGCCGCGCGATTCTGGCACCTGCGGCATACCAGATCACCGTCGGTCAATCTTCCGACCCACGTGGGGGAAGCCAACGTGACGTCGCACGCGTTCGTCAGCTGCTTCCCGTTGACTAAGACAGAAGTCTTCTCCGCCTTTCGTCGCTTGCGTGATCTGATATGCGGAGAGCCGCTGACTTCAATGGCGACGTGATGACGCTCATTCGTGACAATCCAGCCTAGCTCGGCGGGAATGCCGATCGTTGCCCCGTCGCAAACCTTGGGCAAAGCGCACAAGCGACGCGCGCGCTCGCCATGCAACGGCGCTGGCGAGAAGACCGCTGCTGATGCGGGGTTCAGTCTGGCTGGCTGCGACGGTGGCGCTGGGTGCGCCTGCACAGCGACCGAACGCTTTGCTCGCATGACGCGGCTTCGGGCGCTATTTGCGCCGGCCTGCGGGGCGCCCGCTACCGTGTCTCCCACGGCCGATGATGGCGCGGAGTGCGCCTGAACGAAACGGCGGCGCTGCACATGCGCACATTACGCTCCCCCCCGGCGCTGCGTGCGCCTGCACCGCTGTTGTTGCTGCAGCGGGCTGCACATACGCCCGCGACGGTGACGCTGCCTGCGCCTGCGCGGTAAAGAAGCGCTCCGCGCACGACGACCCCTGGCGCTGCGTGCGCCCGCCTGCGCTGATGCTGCTGCAACAACGTCGCCCCCAAGGGCTGACGTTGGCGCTGCATGCGCTCGCGCTGCTGCTGCAGCTGCCTGCACATACGCCCGCGACGGTGACGCTGCCTGCGCCTGCGCGGCAAAGAAACGCTCCGCGCGAATTACAAAGCCCCTGGCGCCGCATGCGCCCGCCTGCGCTGCTGCTGCAACAACATCGCCCCCAAGGGGTGACGTTGGCGCTGCCTGCGCCTGCGCTGCTGCTGCCGCAGGGGCAGCTCCAACCGCTGGCGCCGCTGCTCCCGCAAGCTCCCCGACACTCGGCTGCGCTGCCGGCTTTGCCCGCTCGACGGGCAACGCTGCGGATGACTGGCTGTCTCTTTCTTCATCGCTGCCGATCTCGCCTTCCTCTAGCGCGCGTTTACCAGCGATCCCGCGCAGGCGCTGCGCCCGCCGCGGCCGCTGCGGCGGCTGGGCAGCGCGGCGGCCCCGGCTGCGGAACTGTCGCCTCAGCGCTGCGCTCTGCTCCCCGTAATTTGACGCGGTGAACGCGCCAAACCGCCGGCGCGCCAGCTCTTTCTTTACCGCCGGCGGCAGAAACTTCGCGGGCTCGGGCGCGCCCTGCGCCGCCAGCAGCTGCATCGCGCGGCGCCGCGCGCCCGCTGCGACCTCCTGCGCGGCTGGCGTATCCCACCAAGCTTTGACCCCTTCGAATCGCAGGGGGGCTGGCAAGCTGGCCACGGCCTCGTGAAACACTTCGTGCATGTACAGACGGACGAAACCCTGCTGCTCACGTCTGGTTCCAGCGTATCGCAACGGCATCATGTTCGGGGCGCCGGTGCTTCCGCCACCATCGCGGGGCGTCCAGCCCCCGCCAACAACGCGCTCTGTCCACGGAAGCTGCACGCTTTCCGCCAACGTCGGCATGAAACGCCTCAGGCTGTACGACGTGATCAGTTTCCTCTCGAGCGGTGAATTCAGACAAAGGCCGATCTCAGACTGCAGAAACTTTGAGAAGTGCGCGAGACGCCAGAGCTGCCCCGTATCCTCGTGCGCCGCGAGGCCCCTTGGCAGGGGGGCGCCTTCGCCGGCAGCCCCTGCGCGCTTATGCCACGCGTCCCAGAGCACATCCGCTGCGCAACGCGGCTCCGCGGTCCGCACCAGGCACCAATCGAAACATCCGCCGCGCTTTCCGCGGTAACATCTGAACCAGGCCAGCGCTCTCGTCCTTTCAATCGGGTACGACCGTGACAAATGCTGGAATCTCAGCCACCCGTGGCACAGCGCGATCGCTGCAGCGGCGGGAACCTCGAGCCAACCGCGCTGCGCTGCCTGTGCGGCAAGTATCTGATGCAGGAACGATACCATGCACGGCTCGAGCACGGTCGCTTGCCGCAACTCTCCCCCCGCTTTGCTCGCGGGCCGCGCGTCTGGCTTCATCGCGTCTTCGAGCGCGAACGGCGCACCGAGATACTTCTGCAGCCACTTCAACCGATTCCACACGCGCACCCCGGAGGCTTGTTCACCGCACATATGACATATGAACTCGTCCACCATCAGTGTGCTGCCAGCAGCCTCCGCGGAGAGGGGCTCGAGCTGCCGTGCTCGGGCCCACGCCTCCCATCTCGCCCAGACGCGCAGCGCGTCCCGGACCCCCGCGCTCGCGAAGCGCGCCAGCCTCTTCGCCGCCGCGGACCCGGGTCCGCACAAGCGCTGCGCCTGGCCCTCGGGGAGCCCCCGCGCCAAGCCGTGCGCTGGGCCCCAGGACGCGGACAGCTGCACCGCTGCCCCGGCCGCGCTGGCGCGCTGCGCGGCGTCCGCCTCCTCTGTGCCGGAGGCGCTCGCCGCCGCGCGCTGCACGCCGCGCCCCCCTCTTGGCGGGCGCAAGCCAGGGAGGACCATCGCCAGCGCGCGTGGCGGAGCGTCCGCCTTGCGCGCGGGCGGCGCTGACTGCGCCTCGCGGGCCACCCTGTGCCACGCTGCCACTCGCGGATGCCCCGCGAGCTGCCGAGCTCGCCGCCGCGCCTCCTCCTGTCCCGAGGCCGCGGCTGCCTCCACCGTGGTAAAGAAAAATGCCAGGTCGTCGACGTCCTCGATGCCTACCTCCCTGACGAAACACCAGAAGCGAGCGCGCGCGTCGACCGGCAACGTACTCCCTATGGCGGCCAATCCACATTCGCCTGCCATTGCCACCGCCAAGCAAATGGATGCGAAGCGCAAAAGACAGCAGAGAAACCCGAGAAAAATCAAATCGCAAGGTGAGCGCGGCCACCGCGGCCCGTCGCCCCCCCTTCCTCGCAGCCCCTCGGCGCGGGCAGCGAAGGGGGGGGGCGCCCCCCCCCCTCTCTTCGCCCCTGCGCCCCGAGCTGCATGCGCGGGCGACGTTTCCAAGGTGTCCGCGCGCGTACATTATGAAGCACTCACCCATGCCTGCCCGGGCCTAAAGTGCACCCACCACTGTCCCCGCTGGTTCCACCACCGCCCCTACTGTCCCCACCAGTGCCACCACCACTGTCGCACTGTCCCCACTGTCCCCACCACTGTTCCCACCGCGGCTCCACTCTCCCAACTTTCTCCACGACTATCCCCACTGTCCCCACTGTCCCACTGACTCCTCCGCTGTCCCACTGAGCTGTCCCACTGTTCCCACCACTGTCCCCACTGTCCCCACCACTGTCCCCACTGTACCTCTGTCCCATTGTCCCACCGCCGTCCTCGCCACCGCCTTCACCGCTGTCCCCACCACCACTGTACCCTCCACTGTCCCTGTTTCCACCACGTTCCCACTGTCCCCACACCACTGTCCCCACCACCACCGTCCCCACCACTGTCCCACTGTCCCCACTGTTCCCACCATTGTCCTCACCATTGTCCCCGCCACTACCGCCCCCACCACTGTCCCACTGTCCCCACCACTGTCCCGCTGTCCCCTCACCACTGTCCCCACCACCACCGCCCCCACCGCTGTCCGCACCCCCCCTCGGTTTTCAAGGGGGGGGGGGTTCGAACCGGCAGTGGCCCCCCCCGGTTTTCGAGTTCGAGCGGGGGGGGGGCTCGAACCGATCTTGAGGCCCTCTTAGGCAGTCTTGGGCCACTCTTGGGCCATCTTGGGGCCGTCTTGTCCCGTCTTTATTACTCTTCGCCGTCGCCCTCGCGTTCGGAGCGAAACTCTCCCGTATTAGTCGTGTCTGCAACGCTGAATCTCCGAGCACTCAGCTTGAGCACTAGCCTGAAAAGCGACGGAGAAGTCGGCTTCAAAGACTCAAGACCCCAAGGTTGAGCTGTACAAGCTACGGAATGATTTCCTGCAGAGTGAGGTGGAGCAGGAGGCAGCAGGTAAGCAAGAAATCGATGAGGAGCAGGAGGAGGATAATGAAGACCCGGTGGTTGCCACCACTGGGCGCGGCTTGAAACAGTTGTTGCCAACAACATAATGGTGAGACATGGTGCCAGAACCACATACAATTCCCTGAGGCTCGGCCCTAACTGGACGTGGCGATAATGCCCGCCCGAAAAATGTGGGCGCTGCAGCGCTTACAAAGAAACCTAGACGGAGCAGGAGGAGGATGAATATTGAGGGTTCGCCACCACTGGGCGCGGCATTAAAAGAAACGGTTGCCATGAAGATCGGGGATTGGCCACCACTGGGCGAGGAATGAGAAGGTTGCTTCCAACATCATGATGGTAAGACATGACGCAAGAAACGCATGGCAGTCCCTGAGAGTCGCCCATACTTGGACGTACAACGAGACTGCAAAGCAGCACGTGCATAAACTTTTCCGCCCACATTGCGCTTGACGCTGTGGACGAAGCTGCGTATAACGCAATATATACGGCGCGGCTGGCAAGCCCGTGGCCACGTGGCATGCCCTGCGCCGTTTCCATGCTATTCCCCTGGGCTGGTGTGGACCATGCCTAATAGTGCAGTGACTGGCAAAACCTTTGGATCATCCCGAATCACTACTAAAAAGTCCTAGGATAAAAATTTGTGCCGTGCGTCTGGCGCGCGAGGCAGGAGGCGTCCACGTTGATCCATCTGATACGAGGTGCAGGGCTCGCCCTGGACTGAGGGAAGCTCCCCTGACCGCTGCCCCCAATGGACGCGGCCAGGCGGGCGCTGACGGCACGCGCCACTGGCTGGCGGCTCTCCTGACCAGGCGGCACGATCATACAGAGGAAGACGTCAGTGTGGTTTGGTTCTTCTGCCTTCCCCCTCCCCGGGCTCACCGCCGACTTTTGCTCGAGATCAGCCGCGCGAGCTCGGAGCAGCCCCGAGCGCCGCCGAGGGCGACCCTGGCGGCGCGGGGGGCCCGCGCGCCTCGCGGCGCAACGCCCTCGAAATGGCGCCCGCCCGGCTCCCGGGGCTGCCGATCGCGCCGTCGCCCTCGGCGCACCCCGCCGCCGGCGCCGCGGGCGCCGCGGGCGCCGCCGGCCCGAAGCGGTGCCCTTCGCGGCTGCCGGCCAGACCGCTCCAACCTTCGTCGAGGCACGGGCGACGCGCCCTCACGCCCAGCTCCCAAGGCGAACGTGCGGGCCACCTGGCGGCGACGGCGGCCTTCTGCTCCCAGTACGCCTCGGACCTGAGGCGCCTGGTGGGGCTGGGGCGCGGGTTGGCGAGGGACGTCACCTCGAGGAGCGCCAGTTCGCCGCTGTTCTCGGGCAGCGCGGTGGCGCCCCAGCTCCAGCTTTTCTCGTGCGCGTTGGCGTCCGGGCCGCCGTCGCCGACGGAGAAGGCGAGCAGCTCTTCCGTTGGGCATCGCGTGAGGGCCAAGCTGATCCCGTGCGGCTCAGGGCGCGCCACCTTCCCCTTCCCCTGCTCGGCGAGAGCCGCCTCACCATCCTGAAGCATGGCGCGGAATCTGGCGATGGGGGGCTGTCCAGCCCGGAACCAGACAGGATACCAACTTGGAGACCTCCACTGGGTAAAACCAATGGCTTGAACCAAGATGTCAACGGAGGCCCTCTTGGCCTGTCTTTGGGCCCACTTGGTGGCCTCTTGGGCCGTCTTGGGGCAGTCTTGGGGGCCTCTTGGGACGTCGTGGAGCGTCGGGAGCTCGAAAGTCGAGAAACCCGAAACCATGGGAAAGCCATTGGTAATCAATGGTTTTTGCCTCTGGGGGCCCTCTGGGGAACGCGCGTCGAATTCTCTTGGGCCGTCTTGAAGCTAACCGGGGCCGTCCAGAAGCCACGCGGGACATCTTTGACGCCACTTCTTAAGGGCGTCTGGGCAGCTCTCGGGTCGCTGCTGGGGAGGGGAGGAGCCAGGAACCCCCATGGCGCCCAGAGGCGGCTGGGAAAAGGCCCCGGACCCTGTACACTGATACAGATATACATAGATATAGACATATGCATGCACGCGTGTATGTATATACACCTATCTACGTGCATGTATGTATGCATGCATGCTTGCATGTGTGTATGTATGCATGTATGTATGTATGCATGCATGTATGTATGCATGTACGTACAAACGTACGCACGTATGTATGTATGCATGCATGTATGTATGTATGTTTGTATGTACGTATGTGGGTATATGTGTATATATAAAACTATGCATGTGTGGATGCGTGTATGTATGTACACATGTACGCATGCATGCATGTGTGTACATGCGTATGCATGTATGAACACAGGTATGTGTATGCAAGTGTGTGTGTGGGTGTGTTTGCATGTTTGCATGTATGCATATGTGTATGCATGTGTTCATGTATGCATACATGCCTGTATGTATGTATGCATAATGCATATATGCATGTGTGTATGCATGCATGCATGTGCATACAACTGTAAGTGACAATATGTGCAGATATACTTATGAGGAAAACGAAAGGAAAAGGAGGAGGAGGAGGAGGAGCAGGAGCAGGAGCAGGAGCAGGAGCAGGAGCAGGAGCAGGATGAGGAGGCGGAGGACCAGTGAAAGTGAAAACCCAAGAGTCATCAACGATGTTGGAGTAAACCCTCCCTGCAAGCTCCCTTTTCATAGGCTCCTACAACGATTCATTTCCATTGATGGAACTGCCTCGTTGGAAAACACCCGTTTGAAGACCCTGAAGCATGCCCAAACATTGTTCTCGGGATTCCAACGCCACGGATCAACCTGACTGTTGCGTTTTGACGATCCAGAATCGTGCCAGAACGCCGTTCTCGGGACTTCAGCACCGCGAACGAACGTAAGTGTTGCACCCGCATAATCCTGAACCCTTCCAAAAAATCATATCTGGTACGCTGATGTTGGAGAGAGCGTGATCCACCGCCGCTTTACTGTGGAAAATTGCCGCCCTTTTCCTGGACGGAAGAGCGTGAATCTCGAAAACCGGGGGGGTCACTACCGGTTCGAACCCCCCCCCCCCCTCGAAAACCGGAGGGGGGGTCACTACCGGTTCGAACCACTGAGCTGTCCCACTGTTCCCACCACTGTCCCCACTGTCCCCACCACTGTCCCCACTGTACCTCTGTCCCATTGTCCCACCGCCGTCCTCGCCACCGCCTTCACCACTGTCCCCACCACCACTGTACCCTCCACTGTCCTACTGTTTCCACCACATTCCCACTGTCCCCACACCACTGTCCCCACCACCACCGTCCCCACCACTGTCCCACTGTCCCCACTGTTCCCACCATTGTCCTCACCATTGTCCCCACCACTACCGTCCCCACCACTGTCCCACTGTCCCCACCACTGTCCCGCTGTCCCCTCACCACTGTCCCCACCACCACCGTCCCCACCACTGTCCGCACCCCCCCTCGGTTTTCGAGGGGGGGGGGGTTCGAACCGGTAGTGACCCCCCCCGGTTTTCGAGTTAGAGGGGGGGGGGGGGTTCGAACCGGTAGTGACCCCCCCCCCCCCTTTTCATGATGAACTGGGGGGGGGGGGAAAGGAGGGGTTCGAACTGGTAGTGACCCCCCCCGGTTTTCCGGAGGGGGGGGGGGGAGGGGTTCGAACCGGTAGTGACCTCCCCCGGTTTGCCGCCAGCAGCGGTAGAACACGCTCTTTCGATGATGAACATAACCCCACCAGCCCTCTGGACGGCAGGTGGTCTAAGGATGTTTTTCTCCTTTCCTCTTCCACAACCCCTTCTGCCCCTTCGGGGAAGGGTTTACCACTGTTCCCTATTGATATACCACCCCTCCCCCAGGCGACCGGCAGCCAACCAGAAGCAATGATAACCCCATGAGGGCCATCCCCCTATCATTCTTGACAAAAAATACAATTTACACTTTGGGGCAAAGTCCAGACTCATGTTCGTGAGGCCCACGAGCACTTTCTCTTGTTTTTGGACAAGGACGGCGGGGGTGTCAGCATTTTGCCCGCTGCACGCAGGGCTACCATCCCTGACAAAGACAAAAACCCAATGCACCACGCGGCTAAATCTGGATCATGCGCGGCCACCCCGCGATCACTGTCAAGTGGTGGCGTATGGCCTGGTGTGCGCAGGCCCACCAGACACAATGATGGGCACTGGCCTTCGACATGGATGGTGGGGGCCGACATGTTTCCCGATGCGTGCTGTCACGTGCGCAGGCGCACCTGACACACTCTGCACGTGCCCCGAAAGTGGCGCACCTGGCGCGGCTGAAGCATGCGGCACACCTGGCGCACGCGGCGGCACGTGGCCTGGCGCACTCGGAGCACGTGGCGCATCTGGCGCACCACCAAGCGTGCCTGGCACGCTCGGGTCTCCGCGTGTGGCGCCCCTGGCACGCGTGGTGCACCTCGCTCAAACGTCGCGCACCTGGGGTCGGCTTTGGTTCCCAGTAGCTGTCCATGCAAAGACGACCGCTGAACATGCTCAGGCTCAGGTGTTACTTATGTGTAGGGAGGGCGGGTGGGTGGCGGGGAGGGGGTGACTTGACCCCTCCCCCTACCCCCTCCCCTGGACCTGGACGGGGGGGAGCCGCGAGTTGTCAGAGGGTCCTTTTTCGCCCAATAATGCTCCAAGAGAGCCTCAGAGTGCCCAAGATAGCCTCCAAGGTCGCTCAAGATAGCCCAACATGGATCAAGATAGCTAACAACATGCCTCCAAGAGGCCCCAAGAGGGCCACAAGACGGTTCCAGGTGCTTTTGGCGACCCCTCAGGACCTCCCCGAGAAGCCAAAATCCTTGTACAATCTATGGAAAATCACTGATTGTTGCCTTCTCGCTGTTTCGCTTCCGATCGCTTTTGAGGCCTCAAGATGGCCCAAATATGGCCCAAGAGAGCTCCAAGAAGGGCCCAAGAGGCCCCCAAGACTGCCCCAAGAGCGCCCAAGATCGCCCCAAGAGGGCTCCAAGAGGCTATGTCGATGGCCACGGAGGGGGGGGGGGGGGGGGGCAAATCGAGGACCCCCCCTTCATTTGGCCGATGGTCTCCAAGATGGCCCCAGGAGGCGCTCCATGGCTCCCAAAGAGGGCCCCAAGAGAGCCCCATAAAGGCCTCAAGGCGCCTCAAAAGTGCCCCAAGAGGACCCCAAGACCCCCCAAAGAGCCCCAAGAGGGCTCAAAGATGCCCCAAAAGAGCTCCAAGAGGACATCAATATCCCCCAATACAGCCCCGTAGCTCCAACAAGGCCTCCGATGCTCCAAGATAGCCTCCTTCCTCTCCTCTCCTTGCACGCTCTGTTTCACTATATGTGTCTCTTCGCCCCGTTTCCCGTCAGCTCCCATGGGCAGGGCGTCTGAATGGGCTGGTTGGGGATCCGCGAAGCGTAAGCAGTTATGATGATGCTGCTGCTGCTGATGATGATGATGATGAATATGAAGATGATGAAGATGATGAAGATGATGATGATGATGATGATGATGATGGTGATGATGACGATGGTGTTGATGATGGTGGTGGCGATGCTGCCGAGGAAGAATAAGCGGATGCTGCTGATGACGATGCGTATGAGTATGGTGATGATGATGATGATGATGATGATGATGATGATGGTGACCATGATGATAATGCTGCTGATGATGGTGGTGGTGAGGGTGCTGATGCTCGTGATAACGATAACGCGGAGGACGGCGAGAGGTCGGCTGGTACTGATGATGCTGCTGAAGTCGGATGATGATGGTAACGATGACGACGATGTTGATAATGATGCTGATGATGATGACGGGTTTGTTGATGATGGTGATAATGATGATGATGCTGCTGCTGATAACGATAATGATGCTGAACATGATAATGGTGGTGGTGATGATGGTGATGATAAAGGTGAATGTGATGATGGTGCTGCTGATGCTGATGAGGCTGTTGATGATGATGATGATGATGATGATGATGATGATGCTGATGATGATGCTACTGATGACGATGACGATGGCGACGATGATGATAATGATGATGATGATAATGGGAAAGCAAACGAGGATAACGAGATGAAGCATGAGGCGGAGGAGGATACGAACGCCCACGCAACGAACACGGAGGAGACGGAGAAGGCAGAAAGGAGCAGCAGCAGTAGCAGGAGGAGCAGGACTGGGGGGGGCAAGGATGGGGGAGGAAAGGTGGATGAGGGAGGACGGAGGAGGCGGGGGAGAGACGAGGATGATGACGATGCTGACGACGATGACGATAATGATGCTGATGCTGATGATGGTGATGATGGTGATGAAGATGATGCTGATGACGATGGTGCTGATGATGATGAGGATGATGATGAGGATGATGAGGATGATGAGGATAATGAGGAAAATGATGCTTCTGATGGTGACCATAATCTTGATGATGGTGATGACGAGAACGACGACCATGATTCAGATGACTGTGAGGATGTCGACGGCGCTGATGATGGTGATGCTGATGCTGATGATGACGCTGGTGTGATGATGGTGTAAATTTTCATGTTGGTGTTGATGATGATTAATATGAGAATGATACCCATTTCAATGAAAATAATGATAATGAGGATGGTGATGATCATCATCATCATCATGATGACGATGATGATGCTGACGATTATGATGATGATGATGATGATGATGATGATGATGATGATGATGATGATGATGATGATGATTATGATGGT